GAGAGAACTGTGGTCATAAATGTAGAATGTATTTCTTACTGTGGGTTCTGATCACAAACATTTAAAAGCTGTGGACCTAAACATCTCCAAGGGGCCCCCACCCCGAGAGTAAAGCAGTATCCCTTTGCTTTTCCCTTATCATCAAAATCTCACCAGCTCCTCAGAGCAATTTGCCAAACAATGAGCATTTGAAAAACCAGAGAGGAAATCAAACCTAATCTCACCAACTGGAGATGCAAACCACCAGGAGAGTCATGCGATTTCCCACCAGGCTTTTTTTCTAAGTAACTTTTGTACCTGGCTTAGCACACATTGTAGATAACAACTGTGGGTCCTACTTTTATTTATTTTTTTTGACTAAATATAAATCCTTTCCAACTCGTTCAAAACTCTGGAAATTATTTATTCAAAAAATAAATGATAAAGCTACTATAAGTCCACTAGGGGTAATACATACAAGGTTCTAAAAAAATGGGAAGTCTCTTCCACTTAGTGCTATCCCCACAGGGGCTGAAGCAACTAAAATAAAAAATGTGTCATTCAAAATTCCCAAAGCTGTTAGGTGTAAAAGAAATCTAAATAATTAAATTTTAAATGATTTTTTTGTAAGTTGGTGGCATTTATCTCTCTGAAATGATTACAACTTGGAAGACACCGCATATATATTTATAAGTGCACAGGCTTGTCTATAACAGAACTGTCCGGCAGAACTTTCTGCACTGGAAAAAGGTTCTAAATGTTCATTGTCCCCATATGCAAGCCGCTAGCCACATGTGGCTACTGAGCACTTGAAATCTGAAAAGTGAGGAACTGAATTTTAAATTTTATTTAATTTAAATGTAAATAACCGCCTGTAACTATTGGCTGTTATTGGACTAGAGCAGTCCACAATACTTAAAAAGATAAGAGTGCACAATTTAATCACGTAATAAGCATTAAAAAAAAATGCAGTCATGCCACAGATTGTCAGTAAACATTGACTGGGTCACGCTACGTGCCTCTTGTTTTGTCGTTTGCCTTGTCCACGTGTAAATTCGGCTGAGAACAGTGAAAGGGTATCACGCCGCGACCCTCCTTACCCAGAACGACTCAGGAGACACGGCCCCACGGAAGAGACTTTATTATCTGAAGGAGAGAGTGGCTGGCCCAGACGGGGGTCGGGGGGGAGAGAGGAGAGAGAGAGAGAGAGACAGAGAGAGACAGAGAGAGACAGAGAAAGAGACAGAGAGACAGAGAGACAGACACAGAGACAGAGACAGAGACAGAGAGGGCTGCAGCGTGGTGCCTTTTATTGTGGCGGATCCGCTCAGCCTGTTGCTTTGGGGGAGGGCCAGGATGTTAGAGGTAAGGCGGGTAAGCCCCAGGCAAGCCCAGGCATAATTCTCACCGGCTTCTGTGCTTGGGACCATGGGGCAAATGGAGGGATAAATTACTGTATTTTACAAACAGAACAGTCTGGAAGGCACATTGGAAGCTGGTAACAGATGATAACGGTGGCTTCTGGGGAGGGAAATGATATGGGTGTCTGGGAAGAAGAGCGAGAGAGTAATCTTTCCCATCTACTTTTTGTACTTTTTGAATTCTGTACCACATGCATGAAAACACCTATTCTGAAGTAAGTATAAATTTAAAAAAGAAAAAGTGAACTCGTGCTGGCCATCTTTCCATTTCCAGATTGATCAACCTACTTCATGTCCGTATCCCATGGTGGGGCTGCATGGTTTGTCCATCCGCCTATTGGTGGGCATTTTGGCATAACTCATTCTCCTCCATTCACTCATTTGGTCAGTTATTCAACAAACAGGAATTGAGCACCTACTAAGTGGCAGTTGCCAGAAGCCCTGGAGAATGAAGCAGACAAAAATTCCTGCTCCCATTCCAGTGGGGAAATAGATACAAAGCAGAAATAAGAATACACAAGCAAGTTAAATCCAGCCAGTTAGCAATGGTATCAAGGAAATCACACTCTTATTAACAGGGGGTCACCAGGTGGAGGGCATGGGAGGTTCCACGGGAGCCTGGGAGGTGAGGCACTGGAACAACGCATTCAATGTGGACGGGAAAGCAAGTTAAAAAGTCCCAAGGCATTGGAGAATCTACATGCTCTAGAAACAGCAAGGAAGGAGGGAATGGGGGCGGTGTTCAGGTGCAGGAATGTAAAATAAAGATGAGCTCATCTCAGAGGGTAGAAGTATTTAAATGTGGCCTGGGCACCACTGCCTATGCTACAACATAAGCACACAAATTCAGAGCGAGGGTTTGGACACTGGGACAGCAATACGCCAAGGTTTTCTATGCCAGGTGAACGTGAAAAACGTTTAAACCTGGGCCTTGTCGTTTTTGTTTACAATTTAGTTTTCCTATTAATTCCTTGTTATTGTCTTTTACGAGAACACTGGTCCATGACAAGTTGCAAATTTCTAAAATGGGTCCTTCATCACGGATCAGGAAACAACAATTCAGAGGTTTGCTGGAGCACACATGAAAAGTCCTCACCAGACAGGTGAAAAAAGAAAAACAGCTCGTGTTTTCTTCCAGCACTTTTATGGTTTCATCCCCTGCCCCCAATTAATCTCTGCTCATCAAAAATTAGTTTTGGCATAAAGGAGGAGGTAGGGATCCAACTTAATGTTTTTTCATACAGCCACATAATTGTGCTAACACAAAATCATTGAAAGTATTATATATTCCCTCTGGATTTTAACTGCATCTTGCATTATACGCTAAATTCTTCTCAAAGAGTTGAATCTATTTTTGGACTTCCTAGGAGGTATACTTTAAATCTGTACACTGGAAAAATGAGCTTTTAACGTTTACATAATATTTGCTTAAATATTTACATTGAAGAAATCAACTTCTTTTTAAAATTGTTTAACATATCCACACAAATAAAATATACTAGGATTTATTTTTAAATGACTAATTCACAGGCAGTTTGGAGCAGAGTTAAACACAGTTTAAGTGTGTATGTCGATTATCAACTAGTGCATCTTTGTATGCTGAATTGGGACAAACTAGAAAAAGCCTAAATTTGAAGTCTTTGGTGCATCTGAGGTCTCAGCTAGAGAGCTGGGAAAACATTGGAGGGAAGGGGGTAGTGTCTTTCTGGGTTTTAGTTTGTAGCTTTATTATCCATGAGTATTTCTAGGTTTGACACCTTCCCCACCTGCTGTACAATTTAAGAGGCGATTCACCCAAGAGGAAAGAGCCTAGGCCTCAGATACTTCTGGGCTTATTTCCTGATTGCTTTGGCTGAATGTGTGACCCTGAGAGGTGACCCCTCCTCCCTGAGGCTCAGCCTCCTCTTCTGTAAAATGGGGTAATAGCAGTAACTCCTATGAAGTGGGGGGAGAAGCTGAACATGCCTTTTAGAAAAAGGGAATAACAGTGGACAAGGTAACACTCAAATAAATTAGACCAAGACTTAACTAAGGGAAGAGGCATGAGACACCTATCGGTGCCAAGGTCTGGAGTTTGAAATCTTGCAACAAGGTTCAAGTCAGCTAGGGTATGGACAGCTATCAGGGTAGGCTTGAGACATTGGGCTGTTGTCACCATTGTGTGGCACAGGGCCAGGTACACAATAGGTGCTCAGTAAGTGTGAGCTAAATATAAAGAAGGAGTCAAGGATTTTTTTTTAAAGTAAGTTAAGAACTTTGGAGTCAGACAGCCCAGGTTAAATTCCCACCTGTGCCTCTCATTTTCTGTAAAACCTGGATCAACTGTGCCTCAGTTTCCCTATCTACAAAATGGGAATAACAACAGGAACATCTGTGGATAAAATGAGAGAGTTCCTGTGGCCAGGATTCTCACCTGGCCCTGGTTGACTAGCTCACTGCACAGCCATGGGCAGGCAATACATGGCTGTTGACTCTATATAAAGAGCTCCACGCAGTGCTCTGGGAGCGACATGGTGGCAGGGCTGCAGGCTGCAGGCAAGCAGAGCAGAGGTTGGCGTGATGGCAGCTCAGAGGTCAGAGACCCAGAGGATAGCTGTGAGGGACAGCTGTGCAGAGAGGCCTGGAGGACGGCTGTGCAGGACAACTGTGTGGGACGGCTGTGCGGCCAGAGGGGCCCAGAGGCAGAGACCAGCTTGCTGCATGCAGACTTGCTCTCAGTAAATGATATTCAAGTGACTGACCTGCCACCTGGAAATAAAGTTGGGTATAACCCTTTCACCCAAGAACGTTTTGCTGTCAATTTCTTTGGTCACATTGAATCCATTGCGAACTTGCCCGGGGCGGAAACCCACTGGCAAGACAACATCCTTTTAGAGTGTTAGCACAATGCCTGCCACATGGCAATTGCTTTGTGGGATTTTGTTTTCTAAGAATTTATAAAACAGTAATTAGTATCCAGTGATAGATCTGCACTGCCCAACGAGATATCCTTTAGTTCCGTGTGGCTATTCAAATCTAAATCTAGTAAAATTAAAGTTAAAAATCCAGGTCCTCAATCGCACTCACATTTCCAGTGCCAGTGGCCACGGTGTTGGACGGGCAAATACTGACATTTCCATCACAGCGGAAAGTTCTACAGGACCCCGCTGTTCATAGAAAATCAGCGAAAGGGCTTTTTTTTTTTTTTCTCCAAACCATTTCTTGGGATGCGACAGAGACAACTTCCATTAAACTTCAAAAAACTCAAAAGCAGCACCCACACCAGCAAACAAGGCGGCAGCGCTGCGCATGCTCCGCAGGCCTTCCGGGTGTCCGCCCCGCAAAAAGATGGCCGTCCCCGCAGCCTACACGTACAGAGCCACGCGGTCTCCCCGAACACAGCATGAACCTACGCCCCGCAGAAAGATGACCACCTCGCTGTAACTCTCGCGACAACGTAAATGGGGCTCAAAGGTCGGCCGCGCCTTCACAAAGTGAACTGGGGCGACCAGTGCCATGATAGCTTGGCTTTCGCTAGTGTTCCCCCGGGCCCGCCTCTCTGCCCTTAACCATTATGGCGGCGTCGGTGCAGTGTCCGGGTCGCGAGCTTGGTTAGAGCTGCTCGTCAATCACAGTCGCGCCCAAGGCACCGCCCAAAACAGTGCTGCCACGCCCCTTTCGTCACTTCCTCTCTAGCTCCTGTGCAGTCAGTAAGGAAACCCGGGCGCCGCCGCGACTTTCTTTTTTTCAGGCGGCCGGGAAGATGGCGGACATACAGGTATGGGCTCGGGGCTGGTGCCCAGGCTGCGGGACCCACCTTGGGCTTCAGGGGCGTGTCCTGGAGAGCGAGATCCCGCGCTCCAGTTTGGGGGCTAATTCCGGGTGCCCTCCATTTCCAGGGGATTAATTCGGGCATTAGGTGAGTGTGCGTTAATCGAGATTAGCGCCTTTTTGAGCCCGCGGCCCTGCACTTGGGGTTTAATAGAGGTCCAAGCCTCTTAAGAGTTATCTTCTAAAAACTAAAGACTTACGGGGTGATTTTCTGGAAGCTTTGGGCTTTATAGGGTTAATGCTGTGAGAACTGAGTCCTAAGGGTTAATTCAGGGAGCCTGTTATTTTGGTACTTAATTTGAAGCCGCGTATTTTAGATAAAGAGTGAGTCCTGGGTGGGTGTCCTTGCGTCTTGGAGACTAGTCCTTGGTGAAAGGCGTCCTGGGTGTTAAAGGGATGATTCTGTATTTCTGGGTTTTAAGGGGTGAATTCTGCAGGCTGTGGGAGGTGTTTTTGAGAATAAATGCTCAAGTAACCTCAAGCTCAAAGTTGAGTCTGAATTGGGATGAGTGTTTTATAAGGTAATTCTGGGATACTGACCCTTGCCAGCGTTTGGGGAGTAAGTGCTGGAGAGGATGGGGTATAGGGGTTCCTAGGAAGGTTTCCAGGCCAGGTAGCATCCTGCTGCAGGCCTGTGGTGCTCACCAGCTTCCTCCCTGTAGACTGAGCGCGCCTACCAAAAGCAACCAACCATCTTTCAAAATAAGAAGAGGGTTCTGCTTGGAGAAACTGGCAAAGAGAAACTTCCCCGATATTACAAGAACATCGGTCTGGGTTTCAAGACACCCAAGGAGGTATGGGGACCCTTAAAAGAAAGACTGAGACTTTTGTATCCCAGCACGTGTGTCCAAGCCCAGATGCCCTGCGCACATCTGAGTGGCTGCTCCTGGGGCTGCTGGGAATTGTAGTTTATGTCCCTGAGGTTACACCCCCTATTCTTTTCAGGAACTGCTAATTCAGAGCTCATTGCCGTGTATTTCTTTATCTTTCCAGGCCATTGAGGGCACCTACATTGACAAGAAATGTCCCTTTACTGGTAATGTGTCCATCCGAGGGCGGATCTTGTCTGGTGAGTGAGAATCCCTGGGGACATGGGTTCAGATTCCCAGGACTGAGGGAGGAGGGACTGGGGGCACTGGCTGGTGATGTCTGTTTTTACATGCCCACCACGTACACTGCTGAGAAAGCCACTTGGCGCAGCTAATACCAGAAGTGGGGCCTCTTGGGAACCCTGCTTGGCATTCCGATTCCCAGCATGCCCTGAGCTGCCCATAGCTCACTCTCCCAGGGGCCTGACCCACAGTCTTCCCCCTGCCACCCCACCCCAGGCGTAGTGACCAAGATGAAAATGCAGAGGACCATTGTCATCCGCCGGGACTACCTCCACTACATCCGAAAATACAACCGCTTTGAGAAGCGCCACAAGAACATGTCTGTGCACCTGTCCCCCTGCTTCAGGTGAGCACAGTAGACCCCCACATAGCCCAGGCGAGCCACCCTCCCGAGGCAAAGAGGAGGCGGGTGGTCTACACTTGAGTCTCAGTGAGACAAGGGACCTGACCTGCGTGTGAATTGGATGCCTTGGCTGCTGTGTGGAGGTATTTCAGTATTTCAGTGTCGCATGAGGAGGCTCCGAGAGCTTCCAGCTCTCTCTAAAAGGGCGATGAAGGGTGGATATCTTTTGTCCTGAGAGGTCCCTGGAAGGGTCTCTGGACAGCATTGAGCCTGGTGCCCAGCACATGACCAAGGCCTGGATGGAACTGGAAATGGGAGCTTGCTTGGGCTTTCGTGGAGCCAAATCTGAGAGGCCTCAACCTGGTGACAACAAAAGAAACTCTTAGGGGTATCCTCCCAACCCCCATGACACGGCCACTACCCACCTCCACAGGGACGTCCAGATTGGCGATATTGTCACGGTGGGTGAGTGCCGGCCCCTGAGCAAGACCGTGCGCTTCAACGTGCTCAAGGTCACCAAGGCCGCTGGCACCAAGAAGCAATTCCAGAAGTTCTGAGACTGGACACCTGCCCACTGCCCCAAACAAAATAAAGTTATTTTCCCAATGTTGAGCTAGGCTTGAGGCATCTGCTTCCTTGCTGGAGGGAGAGGCTGCCCCTGAGAATTGAGCAGGTTGACATGAAAGATGGGGATCTTTTTCATCCTCTGGGGGCAGAGGGGGGTCACATCCTGCCTCCTGTCCTCATTGCTGGGCAAGGACAGAACCCCTGTAAAGGTGCTGCCCCTCTCGGGGTCGTCTTTTGGTTCTCACCTTCTTCTGGTATGGGAATAAATCAGGCCTTCTACCTGGTGTTGGCAGCCCCACCTTGCAGTCTCTGGGGAGGAAGTGAGTGAGGGTGGAGGCCCTGGGGCTTTGAGACTCTGGTTTAGTCCCTTTCTGGCCTTGGGGAGGGGGAGGAAGCAGCAGCTACTGTGGCCTTGCTTGGGGGTTGGGTGGGCTTAGGTTCACAGCTTCCTGACTCTGAACTAGGAGGATCTTGACTTCAGACTGGGGCTCTCTGTCTCCCCTAACAGTGGAAAAGTGAGACGGGCTCCCCTATGTGGGACCCACTGTCCCCTCCTAAGTGAGTGAACTCTCTTGAGCAGGCAGGTCCTCTGCCCCGAGTCCCAGTGAGTAGCTGAGTTCCAGGTCTCAGGTTAGAGTGACTCCCTTTGCCTGAAAATCCAAGTAAGGAAATTGGCTTTGATGGCAAGTTGCATAGCGAGGCCAGAACCAGCCTGGAACCCAGCTTAATGCAGGGTCGGGTCGTAAGTGTTTAATAGGCAGCCTCTGGGGTTGGGGCTGAAGGGTAGGGACAGACCGGCTGGGGGCCTCAGGTGAAAAACAAATTCTAAGAAATGGTTGAACAACTTAAGGGAAAGATTTCCGACAGGGTTACACAGAAAAACGAGACCAGGGAGAGGTGAACAGTCGACTACACAAAGGCATTCTTTTAGAAGCTGAGAAAAATGAAAAGGGAGAGGGACTGTAAATGAGATACAAAGGTAAGTAGAGGCTCAGGATAGAGGGCTCAGCTGGACTCCGAAGGGACACAGACCACAGGTAGGGATAGGCTGTCCGGTCACAAGCAGGGGGACCTCGAGCATCACACCAGAGCATCACACCAGGACGACAGGCATGGGGTCAGAGAGGAAGGTCAGGACTTAAGGGACCAGAGATGGAGCAATCCTCACCCAAGCCACAGCCGGGAAGAGATGGACACAGCAAGATGTTGAAGTTGCCCCAGTAACTTCACCCCGTGGGGCCTGGTGCTGCTGGGGTCCCCAGGTCCCTGCCCCCCATGCCTGTACCAGGGACTGAGGCCCAGCACTGGTACAAGGGTTGGGAGACAGGGCCATGAGAAGAGCCACTGCTGCTTCCAGGGACACCGCCTCTGGTCCGGTCCAGGGGCTCCTTTTTACTCAGCAGGGGCAAGGGGTGGGGGTTCCTGCCAGAGGAAGTGGGGCCGCATCAAAGAGGGCAGGAAGGGGCAGGGACGGGCAGAAGGGGGGCACCGCCCCAAGCTCCAGCCTGTAAGCCTGACCCAGCCCAAGGTGGAGGGGTTAGAGACCCTGAGGGAGGGACCAGGAGGTATCTGAGGCTGCCAGGCCCCCCCACCGCAGGTGTTTCCGTTTGGGGTGGGGCTGCAGTGTTTACAACAACAGCCCAGCTCCCCTGTTTCCTCCCAGCGGTCGTTGGGGCGTCTCCTTGGCACCCCAGTGCATCAGGCTGCGGGTGGAGCCTGTATTTGGTGTGCACTGGGGGTGGCTGGCCAGGCCTGGTGGGTTAGGTCTCAGAGAACAAGGAGAAAGACCCCCCAGGCTGCACCAGTCTGAAGAGGGATCATGACTGACAACTAAAAGATGACAGTTATAGGTCTGGGTCACAGCCTCAGCGCTCCTCTACCCTCGGCCTGCTTCGCTCCCTCCTTCCCTCGGCCTGCCAGGCCCCACCACACTGGCTCCCTCCTCTGCGCCTTTGCGCTGGTGTGCCCTCTGCCTGGAAGGTTCTGAGCCCAGCTTTCCACCTGGCTCCGTCCCTCATTGCCTTACTCTCTCCTTCTCACCAATCTCTTTCCAAGTGACAAACCCTCCAGCCCTCCCATCCCTGCTTTATCATCCTACACAGAGAGGCCAGACCTGTGCATTGCATATTTGTGTGTTTATTGTACAAATCCCGCATGATACTGCATGGATGTTTGTTTACCTGTTGACTACTGGAATGCAAACTCAATGCACGGGAATCTCTGCATCCACAGTGACTGGACAAGCTCTAAGTTCTCCATACTTGTTCAGTGAGTGAATGAATGAACTTAAAGGTAAATCCCTACATTCTCACAGGATGGGTTTGACCTCTAGGTCTCAAGGCACAGAATAACCGGCAGCAGAGACTAGGAGCAGAAACCCCAAAAATGTAAGCATCAGGGCTGCAGGCTCCTTTCCGAATTCTAGCCCTGACACTCGTTAGCTGCATGGCCTTGAGCAGGTGACCTCCCCGCAAACCACAGAGCCTCAGTTCCCTAATTGTAAAACAGGGAAAAATAGCCTCCCTGCCTTACTGGGGGGATGAAATACGCTCGTGTTGTTAGTTAATGGGGTAGAACTAGTTTTGGTAAGTGATACTTCTTAGGGAAGAGATTATGCCGCAGCCCTGAGCCTGATTAGAGGAAGGCCCAGTGGTATCTTGGTATAGGTATAGCAGGCCCTGGGGCCTTTCAGGTGGGCCCAAGGACGAGTCTTTGGCAGCTGGCCCCAGAGGTATCGTATGGCTGTGGAATCCTGGGTCTATTACAGCAAGCCCTGGTGGTTTGGCATGGGATTTTGATTCTATTTTAGCATGCTTCTGGAATATTCTGTTGCATGCCTCTTATAGGAGGCTCCAGTGGCATTGCTATTCACAGGGAAATCAGATCCACACACAGTTGCACAGCAGGGTCCTGCCTAGGCTTATGATGACAGCACGAGTTGGGCCTGTTAGACAAAAACAGCAGATTTGGGTGGTATCATAACGTAGCATGGCCCTGCACTTATCATAAGGCCACGAAAATACTCCATTACAAGCACACTGGTAATCTTTACAGCCCCTGTGGTGGTCTATTTTGGCAGGACCTAATGATTAGGGGTTACAGTGGGGCCTTGGGGTCCTATAATAGGCACTGTTCCAATACCTGGGTTTTATCATAGTTGGCCCATGGGTATTTGCATAGCAGGCACCTGAGGTCTCTGAGTGGAGTACAGGGAAATTTAATTGTAGCGTGTGTGTGTGTGTGTGTGTGTGTGTGTGTGTGAGCAGCCCCACTGCCATGTTTTAGCCATGTCCTGAGCCCATCATGGAAGAACCCTAGGGTCTAACATTATAGTAGGTCCCGGCTGTTTTACATATTAAAACAGACCTACAGTATAGATTCTGCTCGAACATTCTAGCAGGACACTAAAGCCATTCTAGAAGAGTTTTAGGGGTATATCAAATCAGCCCAGGATTATTCATTACCATCATTCATTCTGCAACTGTTTACTGTGCTGACCCCTGAGGATGCAAGAGTGAGCAAGGCAGGTCCAGGGACTGGTGTGGGAGAGCTTCCTCTCTAGTGTGACCCCTGGAACCTTAGCAGCAGCCAGGGAAGGGGGCGGTGCATTAAGGGGAACAGGTATTACTACCACGCCCTACTACATGTCCCACATCAAACCTTTGTTTTGCTGAAGCCTCTCTACTGAGGTAAGCACAGTTATCCCCATTTTGCAGATGAAGAAACCCAGGCTCAGAGAAGACAACCTGCAAAAGGCTTTGAACTCAGGTGTGATTGCCTCCTGAGGTCAGTAGGGGACAGTATGGCATAGGTGCAGAGAGGAGGGGCGGCTATTGAGGTGGCAATTCAAGGAGCACAACTCACCTGCCAGGGGCCGTTTTACAGTACACAGACCCCAGGGGCCAAGGCACTTCAAGGGTGAGCTTGCCCTGCAGTCTGCGCGGTCGTTTAGAAGGCACCGATGCTTCCGTTCAATCCTTTGCTTGGACGGGTTTGAAATTGAAATAAGGGGCATTTTCATTTTGCACTGGGCCACACTTATCATGTAACCCAAACCGGTCCTGCCATGGTTTCTCTTCCTTTATAACAGGCCCCTGGGGACGTAGCAGGACCCCAGGGGGTCTGAGGGCACAGGTAGGGATCATTAGAGCGGGACCCTGGGGATTTGATAGGAGACAGAAGATGCTGTAATGGCCCCTGAAGACAGCAGGAGCCCAGGGCACCTAGAAGAAATTGGGCACCAGTGGGCACCCAGGCATCTTGAGGTTTTTCTTTTGTAGCAGAAAAGAGGAACATGACGGGAATGTTCAGGCAGAGCTCTGAGAGGCCTCATTGCTAAACTCTGGGGCCATTATAACAGGAAGGAGAGGAGATGAGAATGGAGATGTTCTAGCAGGCACGAGGGAGGCATTGTCTGTGACTGTGGTAGGCTGGATAATGGTCCCCTGAAGATATCTGTGCCCTAGCCCCTCAAAACCTGTGAGTATGTGACCTTATGATAAAAGGGATTTTGCAGAGATGATTAAATTCAGAATCTTGAGATGGAGAGATGATTCTGGATTATCCAGGTGGAACCAATGTAATCACAAGGGTCCTCGTAAGAGGGAGGTGGGAGGTTCACAGTCAGAGATGTAAGGATGGATTCGTCACTCAGAGAGGAGACAGGGTGCTGTACTGTCGGCTCTGAAGCTGGAGGAAGGGGCTTGAATGCAGGCGGCCTCTAGAAGCCGGAAAAGGCAAGGGAACGGATTCTCCTCTAGAGGCTCCAGTAAGAACCAGCCCTCCTGGTTCTTGCATTTCAGATGACCATCTTCTACAAGTGTAAGATCGCAAATCTGTGTGCTTTTGAGCCACTGAGTTTGTTTGGTTATTGGTTACAGATGCGGCAGGAAACCTAACAGAGTAACCTAAGACCACTGCGGAGGCCACTGAAACAAGATCCTGGGACACGTGGGTAAAAGCCTGCAGGAATTTTCCCAGAGCCCCTTGGGCCCTTTGATGGTCCTGGGAGATGCAGAAGAGCAGGCCTTTGGAATGTTTCAGCA